TATATAAATTTATCTCACTTTTAATTCATCTATTAATTTTTGATACGTAAAGCTTTCTGCAATAATTGACAATATACGAACTTTGCCATCTATTTCTATAGGATTTGCATCATAGCTATCGTGTAAGCAGTTCCAAAATATCTTGTCTAGAAAAATTTGCAATGATATGTGTGCTTTATCCGATAAAGCCTGTGATATAATTTTTTTATCTGATGAAGTTTGTGATGATATATTCAAAAATCTATCTTCATATAGATTTCTAAGGGTATCACAATCTTTTCCAGGATTAGATACATTTGTCCAAAATTCGATCTATATTATATTTTTATTCTATTAATAATTGATCTTTAATCTTAGAATTGTATACACGTAACTCTTTGATTGAATATGCCTTATTTCACTGATACTTATTTTGTAAGCACAACATTTCACCAACAATCAATTTACTGACATGTTTGTTTCACAGACAACCAATTCCTAGACAAGCTCATTTCGTAGACAACTCATTTCATATATAGCTCATTTCACCGACAAGTTAATTTCTCATAATTTCTCTAACCCTAAACCCCTAATTCTAATGGTAATAATGTCAGTGAAATGAGCTGTCTGTGAAATAAGTTGTCTACGAAATGAGCTTGTCTAGAAATTGGCTATCTGTGAAACAATGTTAATGAATTGATTGTTGGTGAAATATTGTATCTACAAAATGAGTGTCGGTGAAATTAGCTTTGCTCTTGATTAGAGATGAGATAAAATGCGCATGATTCAGAATCATGCATATGAATGCGTATTTTACGTATTTTTTGAATTATGCGCATTAATGCACATATAATAAAAAAAATTTTTAATGAGATAAAATACGCATAATTCGAAAATATGCACATTAATGCGCATGATTCAGAATCATGCGCATACATGAAACTTATTATCTTGATATATAAAAAAAGTATTTGTAGTCTATAGTAAAAATTTCAGAATAAATATATAGCAATAATTTAAAATATTACTCAAACTAATTAAAAATAGTTTAATTATTCAGGTGAATTTATAATTCGAAAGAAACTTAAGATGATAGTTCAATGTGCTAAAAAAATTTTAAACTAGTAGAAAATTATTTAGTTAATTAAGCGAATTCACTATTCTAGGCAACAGATAATCTTTCTCCATAGTAATTTCTCAAAATTTTGATATTAATTTTTGTTATCAATATTCATATAATAATAATTTCTTGATTTCATGTCAAAATTTTATAAAAAGTATTAATATGATGAATGTCTAAACCTTAATCGGAACTTACCACCTGATTTTTTGCAGATATAACAATTGTGCATTATTAAAAAAAAGGTCTATATATTTTTTTTCTCAAAATTTTTTGCTTAATTGTTAACTATTAAACCAATCACTAGTTGAAATTAAAAATTCAACATGTCAAATGGTATTCGAATTGTGCTATTTGACATGTTGAAATTTTTAATTTTGTTTAGTGAATTCCACTAATTAAAAATTTTTTTTATTTCAATGATGTTTTGTACTTAAGAATGCCATTATATTAATAATCAATAAATGATAATAAATATTGCTATAGTAATTTATCATTACTTGATTATTAATTATATAGAGATTTTGCTTTACTTATAATTACCTCTGAAATTTTTTTGTTATATGGAGTAATTTCTGTACATCCTGCAGCATGAAATACTGCACGCCATGCCTACAATTCATGGCTTCGGAATTCATAATCTTGTCTATATATTTTTCTGATGTGAGTATGGAGTTCAATTATATTGCTCTTTTGCTGTTTCTAACATTGAAATACTTGATGCTATTTTTTAATTGGTTTACTAACTGCTTTGTTTAAATGTAATTCAAACAGGTGTTCCATAATTATTTTGTTATCCCAATCTGCATATGTGCATTGATTAGATATAGAAGTTTGATAAAGAAATTTTATTTCATATGCTTGTTTCAATTTTTGTAAAGTTGTAGGATGATTTATAGCAAATAAAATATTATCCGGGATAGATTTTAGAATACCAGTTTGTTGCCAAATAGCATTAGGTGAACTATTATTGTATTCTGCAATAATTTGGCTATTTTGATAAATTGTAATTGTATATAAATTGTCACGAATACATTGAGAAAAAACTGATTGTTTCGCTTTATATTTATAAAATAATGATGCCATATAATGACAACCAACTTTATTTGGGTTTGAATATAAAATTTTACCAAGTGATCCAACAAAAATCGAAATATTTTCTAATTTAATAATAAAAGGATAAAAAATAATATTTTTTAATAATTTTTGTGCTGTTTTATCCTGATTTAAACCTAAATATGCAAGACCTGGAAATTTTGCTTTAGTGCCAAAAACCATTTGGTAAACAGATATAATTGCAGTAGAAGTACTTGTAACAATACTACTGCTTTGTCTATTTCCTTCACATATATACTCAGGTTGTAAAGGGCTATGTATATAGCGAACTACACGAATAATAAAAGATTTTTTATTAAGTTGTATCA